CTGTTAAAACCGACCTTGTAAGAGGTTGTAAAGCAGCTGTACTGAGAAAAATAGCGGCAATTGAGTGAGCACTAAACCAGATTCCTAGCACGGCAATATGTTCCATTCCTCTCCTTCCATCTAAAGAAGTAAAGTGAGCTCCACTTCCTTGAGTTGAGCTGCTCCACTATCTGGACCTGGACTAATAGCTAATTCATATTTCCAATTTCCATCATAGCTCCGGCTTGACCTTCTAGACTGCTTGGTTATACCCCTCACTTACACATTACTACTCGCCGATTCTCAAATTGCAGTACTTCACTCAGAGTTTACCCCGTACTACCGACTGTTTTTGGATGATATGAACCAGATTGAGCCCGACCGCCGGAACTCCTTGGTCTGCGTGAGCTTCGTGTTCTTCCATCCTCTCCTTATCGTCCCCTTCTCCCTCCAGTGCTCTACAGCTGCCACTACTGCACCATGTGAGACCACCGAAAGTGTGCTAAGTAGGTGTTTATATAGTCGTTGGGGTGTTTCATAATCATCCATGCAAAATCGACGATAAGTACTGTAACTACGCAGCATTTGTTAGCGGCTTGTTTACTTACATTAGCTTGCGTATACGCATTATATTGGCGCAGCGGAAGACATACGTGTACTCGATATCGATAGTTGGGGTAGGTGTGGCACCGGAAGTGACGTGCACTTGATAGAAGTTGCGTGGATAAGCTGTTGCCAACATACATCGCTGGATATCAGCAAAGCATGCTGGCAACAGCTTATCCACGCAACTTCTATCAAGTGCACGTCACTTCCGGTGACACACCTACCCCAACTTTCGGATATCGACTGTAACTAACGACACCCGGGGGTGCGTTTATCTTATATATAAATTGATTCCGGCAACTGTCGAAACTCCTCTTCGATGTAAGCATGCGCATCGTTATGTTACTCCTTGTGGCAGACACTTTCTTGGTTGAAGCGTGAGCACAAAGGTGTTTTTTTTTCATTGTAGCGAGGGTATACAACCATGATTGTACATACCGTATCATATCTTGAACGTCCTTAGTTTTGCGTGAGAATGCTTTCTTTCTACCTTTTTTTCCCATGTCCCCACTCCAGTTGCCTCTGTAGCATCATTTTTAAACCGACAGTCTAGGTGTTTACGTTGCTATGGGGTGTTACCACAGTCATGCCATTGCAAAACATTGACAACGCAAGTCCTGCTAGCAGCATAGATTTGTTAGCGGGCTTTTGTTTCAGTAGCTGCCTCATCACTCTCTTCATTTTGCGGACGGACATACATAAATACATACATACATACCGACATACAGTGGTGCGCCAATCGTGGATAAGGCATGGCAAACAAGTTGAACTGATATCACGATGTCTGTTTTCTCTGTCCTTATTGTACTGTGGTGTAGTATTGTTTATGCTTACCTTGTTTAACCACCAAAATCTATGGTAGCTGCAGCGGTTGTCTGATACTGACACCGTCCCTAAATCATTGGACTTCGACGTTGAGGGTTTTTGGCACGCGACATTATCATCGTTTTGGTGCATCCCAAGCACTATCAATAGATGCTCCAAATCGTACAGGGGACAAGGAGCTGAATGCATTCATTCTGAATGAGAAGGGCCATGTATGGCAAGGTGTTTCTGTGGCGACCACGAACAATCTAAGGATTGTGTGCGATAGAATTTGCAGGTAGTTGACGCGCTGGTTTCACTGGATGTCACGAGAGATAGGAATCAGGGGGCTCTTTTGGACTTATCAGAGCCCATTGCTATCCTGAGTTTATTTTCACTTTGAAAATCGTTGCTGGGCCTTCCATCAAGTAGGAGCTCCCGTTTACGAGGCAAGGGTGGTTCAGTACTAGTGCAGCATTGATGCAGAACCGATTTTTTCGACTTTGTCGGCTTAAACGGTGGTAGAACAGCATTTCAGTCTGAGGATTCGGCTAGGTACGCCTGTCCGGAACGTTTAGAATTTGAGCTTGCATAAGACACATTATGTTCTAGGGATTCGTTGAAGAAACCGCTCTAAAATGAGCTTGACGAGTCCTACTCGCCACATTGCGTGCCACAGTCGATGGTTCCTCGATGTTTCTGAGGACCCGTATAAACACAAACCAAGGAATTTCAAAAATTGCATGGATGTCGACGATTCAGAATGGGACTGTGCACGTCACTGCATTTTTGTTTTCAAAGAATTGCACCTTGCTCATCCTAGGCAACTCGGGGTCGCTGGAGAAGGGGGGGGGGGTTTTCCGCTGATCTCCGTAATTTGCGCACCCTGTACATACAACGAAACCAAGTAGGCTTAATTAAAATGTAGGAATTACACTATTATATGCTTAAGCGGTTGTGTGCTCTTTGCAAATGTGTCTGAGAATATAACTTCACTAACTTTGGAACCAGAGCGCTCAAACTTCTAATATAGGGGGCCTGGCGCGAACACTGATAGTAGGTGGCGGAAAGTGATAGGAGCTGATAACGGACGTCGAATTGTTATGCGTACATTTCGTTACTCCCGTCGCTGTTGATGGTGGAGAGTTTGCACTGATCGTATGAAATGTGGGGTGAGCCGGGGACTAAGAATTCGATTGAAAGAATGTGGTAGCAACTGATAAGAACTGATAAAGGAGGCGTCAAAAGTGGATACTACCAGTTTCGTTGCGGCCCTCGCGGTGACATTGGAACTTTGGCTGTTACATGTGTTATAGGGGATGGGGCGGGAACACGGATAGTGGGGGGTCAAAAGCAATAACAGCCGATAACGGGTGATAAGGAAGTCAATTTGGAGTACCGCCAATTTGTTGTACCCTCCATAGCCTTCGTCCTGGTAACCAGTGAATGTTAGTCCTACGCAGTTTGTGTCCCTGTCCCTGGAGAGGGAAGGGACACTGCGCTAGCGGTTGAGTTGATTACGAATGACAAGAAGAATGCAGCTCTCTCAACTTGTCTGTATTATCACTGCGCAAGCCGATCAAGATGGCGAGAGATGAATGTGGATGACAGAAAGAGGTTGATTAGTTAGATTTCAAAGTCCGGTGAGTGACCGCAACCGTAACACGTGACTGGTTGGCGCGCAACGTCACGTGTCATCGATTAGAATTCGACGTGCCCTTTTGTCGTTTTTCCGCGCACTCTACGGCGACAGAATGGGCGTAACCGAACCTGGCTCTTGTACGGAGCGTCCCTGCTGTTATATTGGAGGAGTATGGCAGTCGGTCGAACTTGCCGGCAAGCGGTCTGGCGGCACCCCGGGCTAACCTCCCTTGCTCTGCGCGCGAAGCGCGCGCGGCCGCTTGCTCGCGAGCGAGGGCCCGAGCAAGCGCTTGCTTCGTGATAGGGAGCGGCGAACGAGCTGCGTGTTTTTTGGAGGAGTCGCCAAGGGGCTGTGTTGGATGGGTATTATGCATCGCAGGAGGCCTTACCTCTCCGTTGGTGCTTGAAACGTGATGGCAGCCAGTAGTGTAGCTGCGCGCTCCAGTATCAACGTGGATTACGGTAGCGGTCACTCATCGGACTGTTAAAGCGACTTGTAAGAGGTTGTAAAGCAGCTGTACTGAGAAAAATAGCGGCAATTGAGTGAGCACTAAACCAGATTCCTAGCACGGCAATATGTTCCATTCCTTCCTTCTATCTAAAGAAGTAAAGTGAGCTCCACTTCCTTGAGTTGAGCTGCTCCACTATCTGGACTGGACTAATAGCTAATTCATATTTCCATTTCATAGCTCTCGGGATGCTGATTGATTGGTTATATTTCACTTACACACCGATTCTTCAATTGTGGAAATTCTATAAACCGCTAAATCGCCCGAGCTCGATATCAATGCTAAATGTTTACGAAGTCATGATAAGTACCATTTCATTCCGCATGCTACTGCGCGCATTACGCGACAATCTTCAGCGAAATTGGACAACCTTTGAACATTCATGTGACACATCTTCCAAAACATCTTACTGTTAGTTTCTCAGCACGTGACCTAATATTCTGCAAGTTGTCCAGTTTCACTAAAGCCCACCATTTGATGCGCGCGGTTGCGTGCGGAGCTAAACTGGTAATATATAATACAATTGTTAACTCCCAAAAAGGCAAATTCAAAAAGAAATCTGGTTAGCTTGGCTGAAAAACAGTTCAAGGGTCCAAGTTTTAACATGCACGACAAATAATAAGTTTCGTGGTGAGGAAAGGGACATAACAAAAAGGGGCAGTCGGGGAGGGGGTGGGGGAGGGTGGGGTGGTGTGAGTCTCCAGGGATGTACTAGTACAAGAAAACAAATACAAGCGGCGTGACAAGCAGATATCGCATTTTTGAGCCCACGCCGTGGAGTGAATGGTGTGGGACGTACTGTAATGCGTTATATTGAACTTGACGCCTAACCGCTACAGTATGCGGTGCGACTCGTCCTCTGCCGCGCCTGCGTCTCTGACTTCGTCGAGCAACGGGCCTCCTTAGGTTACCCCATTTTGCTAGTTTTAATGTCTAATTCATGTCAAGATCATTCTTTCACACTTTCTTTCGCATAACATGGATTAGATACAAAATATCTTCCAGAAAGATGGAGGCCCGAAAAGATCGTGGATTGGTCCTGAAAAGAAAAAACACTGAGCACGCTCTGAGGAAGACCAATCAATTTCGCCTCACTAATCACATTGTTCTTTGCAATTAAATTGTTAATAAATGGTCGAGTGCATGTGGTTCAAACTGACCAGCTTTTGTTGTCATCATGTTGATATAAACGAATGTCTGACCAAGTAACTATGACCAGTGGTTAAATTACGGTTTGAACAGCAGAATGATTGCATCCATTGATTTGACCGAAACTATACTACTGCCGTGAGATTTATCCTTCGAAGAACCAAGCTTGACGTTGTAGGATTCGCAGCAGGTGTAGTGTTTCACATTGTCTAGCACACCCACACCCATCAGTCAATGGGAAAAGTAGTTTGAGGAATCATACACCTGCCTTTCTAAATGAAGTTTTGAAGCACATTTTTATTATAATTGCAGAAAATCAAACCGAAGAAAATGGATCTTGGCGATAAGCAGAAAATTATAGCAATGGGAGCGAAAAAAGATACCTCTGTAATTTAATTACTCTCAAGTAAAATTGATATATGAGAAACAGCCATTGCCTTCCAGGCATACCCTACTATGGATGATATTATGAGCGATTGGGACTCAAAGGAAGACAACCAAAAAGGGCAGAAGAAGAAAGTTTGTGGCTTCACAGTTTTTAAATTTTTCGACTTTCAATATTCATCGGCATAGTGGGAATTGTTCCTGAATGTGTTGGTAGACCTACAACAGAAAAGACAGGATGGCCACAAATCACGGTAACGCCGCAGAGTAATCAATTCTACCCAGCTAAAGGCATAAGTGCACCATTGGAATTTATTTATCGAAGCTATTCGAATAAAAAAACAAGTTACTTCCCAAAGTGCCTGCTGTTTGCATCGACATATGTGCGAACTCTTCTTTAGAGGTACCATCAGGTCATGACGTGTAGCTCCTTCAAAGCCTTCGTGAGCAATATTCCTACTCTTCAAAGTTTGGATAAGCTCAGTAAGCTCTCATTCCTAGCATGCGCTATATATCTAATCATTAAAGTAGAAGAACTACATGACCCTCCTATGGACGCACTGATTCCAGGCTCTATTTGCACCAACTTTGCCCACCATCCGCTTTGAGTGCGGGCGCTCTGTTTTAATAAAATATCCAACGATTTCCTACGAGGCTTTGCTTGGTTGACCACCCTAGTTGACTTTATCGGATAAGTCTTCATGATAATTTCTCGAAGAGACGGTGTCATCAAACTAGCCCAAACAGCCTATCACTTGATTCCAGTTGAATATTTTCTAAAGGACCTAAGTTGGTTTGTGGCGTAGACCCAAAGGTCTGCGTGCTGGAAAAGGATCAATCGCAAAAATTTTTCCAGGAAGTTTATTAATCGGGAAATTAAACCACACAGCCTGTCACTTGATGCTTCAATAACGTGTGGGGGATAAATTTGGCTTGCTCGCTAGAATAGGTCTGCTTCATAAAGAGTGGCTCAGTTGCAAGAATTTCGTAACCTAAACAATTGAAAACATCGGCTCTTACGAGGTCGAGCCAGCATCTGCACAAATTGCACTAGTGCTCTCTTGACATTTTACTCGCACCATTTAGGAATTGGTACTTTCTACGCTTGGACGTCTTTGCCTTGCAGCGGAAAGCGAAGATCTTCTAAGCGAAGCTCGATCAGTTCCCATTCTGGCCGCTGAACGATGAATTCAGCGCATGGGCTCCAGCGTCTTCGCCCCTATATTGCCAAGCTGCTCCTGATAACCAGCGCAGCCTTACTCCCACATTCGGACTTAGCGTCATAGCGTCCAACTTGACGTGTGTTCTGATGGTGGTAGGCAAGAGCCTCCGGGACAATCCGGATCATGTTGCCATGTAACACCATCAATCTGGATA